AGTGACGCGTCAAGTACGTCCAGATGCGTTGGATGGTAGGTTCTGCATCTTCAAGCTGAAATGAGTTCTGGCCAGGACCATCGTTCGTGTAGTCTCGAATCGCCTGAGAGATGAAGAGGATACGTCAGAGTGTCGACAAGAGGTTCAGTCAGCATCATATCGTCATGCTTTCGCTTCGCTGCCAGATGTCGGGGTGCAGTTTTAGGAAGGCAGAGCCGCAATTCTCCCATATGCCAGTTGACCTTCTCCGTGAGCAGCTTCATGAAGCTGCAAGCGCGCGAAGCTATCCGTATCTGGCGGTCCGAGTGTTGGATCGCCTCCTCCGCAGAAGTACGTGAGGATGCCAGGTCCAGATTGCTTGCTGTGGCGGTGCCTGATTGAGAGGTAGAGTATACTGGCAACGGCATGAAGAGAGATTCGAGGAGTACCTCCATTGCTTGTTCGCGGCTGAGGACTGGGTGAAGACCTGCCATGGTGTTTGGCAGGGTCTAAGTTCGCCCAGGAGGAGACCTCACTCGTGCAGAACTTGAGAGCATAAGCTTTGCGAGGAGAGCTGTGCTTGGTGAATTGTGGTGCAACAAGACCGAAGTTCCATGCTTTTTCCGCGATTTGGGAAGATAGGTGCTGTTGAACAGGAGGGGACCTCTCTCGTTGGGATGCTATGGTGCATAGGCGATGGGCTATCCACGAATTTTATCATTAAGCATCTGCTTCAGATGTCGACGGTGTCGAACGAGGAGCAGAGTCAGCGCCACTGCAAAGTTCTTGTAGTCTTCAAAGACCTGGTCGTGAAGCGGGGACATAATAGTGATGACTCCTTGTGCCTGCTCAAGATCCCCTTGGTCCCCACCGTATCTGTGCCTTATTTGTTGCCAGAGGCTGTCGGCAAAGTAGCGATGGAGAGTGTCTCTCGGTAGAAGCTGGCCCACTACCAGGTTTCGCACCCACAGAAAGTCTTCCTCTGTCAGAGGTGTGGACAGCCAGAGGCGGTACATTGTCAGGATTTCTCGGAGTGTCTCCTGATAATGCGGAATCATTGGGGCCAATGTGGAGTGGTACTCCTCGTAATCAAGCTTGGAGAGATCTCGGTCTTGTTCGAGGAATTCCCAGCTCTCTCGGATCTGTTCGCTGGCTGACGTGGGTGTGGAGGCGGTGATAGTCCGCAGTTGTTGCAGTAGGCGCAGTTGGAGTGATGCTCTTTTGAGCGTTCTGAAGTCATATGCTTCAAGATCGAGCTGATGAGTGTTTTGAAGCCGGAGATCTGAGGGGAAGTACTTCTTGCCTTGCCAGTTCTCCTCTGTCATCTGTGGAGGCAACTGTAGAAGGTTCCGTTGATGTGCCGGGGTAAACTCAGATCTCAGTAGTACTTTGACTTGCTCCAGAGTTCGGAGCAGGATAGCGTTCAGCTCTTGCTGCGAGAACCTCCTGATGAGATAATTCCAGGCTAGTGCGCAAGCTTGATTCGCATCGAACGTACGAAAGGACGGTGAGCCATCTCCGTCATTTGTGTAGTTGCGGATCATGAGGGAGAGATATATAATTTGTTGGCGCTGGAGGGACCCCATGTATGGGGGCAGCTGCGCTGGAGGCAGCTCCTCATCAATGTGCTTGCGCTTGCCTGCCAAGGTTCGTGGCCAGGCTTCAAGGGGCAAGTCAGTGTGCCTCCCCTCGCGCCAGGCCAGGTGCCTATCCAGCTGACAGATAAAGCTGCAGAGCCGTGATGCCACTCTCATGCTCCGTTCCGCCATAGGTTCAAGTTCTTCTGTAGTGAAGGTGAGCCTCCTCGGTGCGAGGTGCGTATCTGCGAAGGTCGAAGTGGCCGTCTGCTCGTGGATGCCGCCAGGTAAGTAAATTGTAGTAGGCACGCGGAGCGACTCCATCAGAATTTCGAGCAGGACCTCGCGAGGTAGTGGTGGCATGGCTGGTTTGTTGACCGGGAGGAGACCTCACGTGGTCAGTTGATGTCAGGTATGCTGAGCCCGGCTGTGGCAGTCAACTGTCAAAGCAGAAAGCTGCAGCCTACACTGTTTGAGTGTGGCAACTAGGCAGAGCTGAGGCGTTGGCGCTGCATCATGTATCAACCTCAGATTGTGACATGAGAGAGTTGATCTGTAGTTGGAACATGTCACTATCCACTTCTGGGCATTTTGGGCTGTCAGTATTGATTGCCAGCTTTTCCCTGATGAAGGCGCACTTGTTTGCGTCTCTTCCAAGGTTATGTGGATAAGGAAGAGGTGAGGAGGCGACTAGCCAGGAGGAGACCTCACCAGGCTGGTGGCGTTGGCGCTGTAGCCAGAAAGCCAGCTGCCGTGAGCAGGGCATGTCGAAATACCGCCCTCCTCTGTGGTGACAACATTTTAAAGGCCAGGATCCAAGGGACAACCTGGTCAATGACTACGTTCTCCAGGGGTGAAAGAATTGCGAGCAGTCTGGCCTGTGCTCTGGGGTCACGGGGAGAGTAGAATTCGATTTGTCCCTTGAGCTGGAGAGTTACATGTGT